CTCTCCCAGGTGCAGCCTGATTGTCCCCAGGTGCAGCCTCTCCTCAGGTGCAGCCTCTCCTCAGGTGCAGCCTCTCCCCAGGTGCAGCCTCTCCTCAGGTGCAGCCTGATTGTCCCCAGGTGCAGCCTCTCCTCAGGTGCAGCCTCTCCCCAGGTGCAGCCTCTCCCCAGGTGCAGCCTCTCCCCAGGTGCAGCCTCTCCTCAGGTGCAGCCTGATTGTCCCCAGGTGCAGCCTCTCCCCAGGTGCAGCCTCTCCCCCAGGTGCAGCCTCTCCCCAGGTGCAGCCTCTCCCCCAGGTGCAGCCTCTCCCCAGGTGCAGCCTGATTGTCCCCAGGTGCAGCCTGATTGTCCCCAGGTGCAGCCTCTCCTCAGGTGCAGCCTCTCCTCAGGTGCAGAGAGTCCAAAGAGTCCAAGCACCACAATGTTCAGGCCAAACAACATTCATAGCTCAGTGAGTACGCCCTCTGGCTGCAAGAATACATTGAATGTTCAAAAGGTTCAAGCTGGATTCCTTTGAAATGTGAATTTAATTCAATTCAAGAATAAACTACTTGGGACGCAAATAATGTTTTCTGTAAACAATTAATAAGTCAAATGAAAAATACATTTTTCGTCATCCATTGATCGATCTTAGTCCCGCCCTTTTTAGGTTAAGTTTGGCATTTTGCCCTTTCCTGATAAACATCAGATATGCTTTGTGCTAGGCTCATCTATGGTCATTCGGTTTAATGTTTGAAGATGGTTCAAAGATATGGCAAGGGGACCTGAAACACGATACTTGATACCTTGACTGCGTCACAATATTTGACACCTTTCATTGTATAAGGGTCGAATCTCAAGCTAATGTTAGAAACACATTTGCCAGTTAGCTAGTTAACGTTAAACTAATGTCAGATTATCACCGCTAACCAGGTTTGATTACTTCTTATTTATTTGGTAACATTACACACGTGTGAAGAAAGCAGAGATGTTGAATACTGACATACTTGATTAGGATGTTGTGAGTTATCGATAACCAGAACAGATCAATGCTAACTGTTACGTGCCGCAGTTGGTGCTTTTGTGTGGGTGTCTCTCTCTCTCCCTCTGATTGTCCTCAGGTGCAGCCTCTCCCCAGGTGCAGCCTCTCCTCAGGTGCAGCCTCTCCCCAGGTGCAGCCTCTCCTCAGGTGCAGCCTCTCCCCAGGTGCAGCCTCTCCCCAGGTGCAGCCTCTCCTCAGGTGCAGCCTCTCCCCAGGTGCAGCCTCTCCCCCAGGTGCAGCCTCTCCCCAGGTGCAGCCTGATTGTCCCCAGGTGCAGCCTCTCCTCAGGTGCAGCCTCTCCTCAGGTGCAGCCTCTCCCCAGGTGCAGCCTCTCCCCAGGTGCAGCCTGATTGTCCCCAGGTGCAGCCTCTCCTCAGGTGCAGCCTCTCCCCAGGTGCAGCCTCTCCCCAGGTGCAGCCTGATTGTCCCCAGGTGCAGCCTCTCCTCAGGTGCAGCCTCTCCCCAGGTGCAGCCTCTCCTCAGGTGCAGCCTCTCCCCCAGGTGCAGCCTCTCCCCAGGTGCAGCCTCTCTCCAGGTGCAGCCTCTCCCCAGATGCAGCCTGATTGTCCCCAGGTGCAGCCTGATTGTCCCCAGGTGCAGCCTCTCCTCAGGTGCAGCCTCTCTCCAGGTGCAGCCTCTCCTCAGGTGCAGCCTCTCCCCCAGGTGCAGCCTCTCCCCAGGTGCAGCCTCTCCCCAGGTGCAGCCTCTCCCCAGGTGCAGCCTGATTGTCCCCAGGTGCAGCCTCTCCTCAGGTGCAGCCTGATTGTCCCAGGTGCAGCCTCTCCCCAGGTGCAGCCTGATTGTCCCCAGGTGCAGCCTCTCCTCAGGTGCAGCCTCTCCCCAGGTGCAGCCTGATTGTCCCCAGGTGCAGCCTCTCCCCAGGTGCAGCCTGATTGTCCCCAGGTGCAGCCTCTCCCCAGGTGCAGCCTCTCCCCAGGTGCAGCCCTCTCCTCAGGTGCAGCCTCTCCCCAGGTGCAGCCTCTCCTCAGGTGCAGCCTCTCCTCAGGTGCAGCCTGATTCTCCCCAGGTGCAGCCTCTCCTCAGGTGCAGCCTCTCCCCAGGTGCAGCCTCTCCCCCAGGTGCTCCCAATCTCCAATCAGGGCCTCCATATAGGACATGAGGAAGGTTGCAGTCGCTCTCCCCTTCTCCCCTGGCTGGATGTGTTTAGCGTGGTGTCCATGTCTCCAGTATATATGTGTGTATCTAGATTTGTTTTGCAAGTTGGCTGGTGAGCCCTTTTTCTTTGTGTTAATTAAAAGACCTGCTTATGGCTTCAGAGATCAGTTTCCTCTCGGCCGGTTATTGTTTCGTGCTGTCACTTCCCTTTGTACTCCTGGATCTAAAAGGGAACGTAACACTAACGTTCCTTTGTTTATATTATCTCTGTAAGGCTGTGTGCCAAAGTGACTTTTGATGTTATTTGGATAAACACCATGTCTACAACCCCCAAGAGCACTGCGAGTATTTCAATCAACATCTTGGAGCTTTACTGCCTGATTTTCAGGAACTATCTGATGCTTACGCACTGCAGCGTAGGGAAGGGAACTGGCATGTTTCTGTTCCTCAGGTTTGTCTAAAGTAGCAGAAGTAACTAAGGGTGATGGGAAATGGATTGGTCACTTGCCTGAGAACAGTTCCCTTAAGAGTGAAATATAAAGTTTTTAAGAGGAACCCAAGGACACCACTCTCAAGCCCAACATCAATAAGTACCTCTTGTTCAGCCTTGTAGACAAACATAGCCGCCGTTAGCAAGTTGAAAACATTCATATTCTAACCCTGAACCATACATGAATGGAGTTATTTCAGCATTATTGGAACATTTCATTCATTCAAACCAGCCATACTAAAGGCACTTACTGAATAAACCTTGAGAACATTGTGCTTTTCGTGAAAACAGATGACGTAATGGATTAGTATCAAGAGAAACAGAGTTTTAACTGGCAGCTGGTTCTGTTGGTGTGAAAGAACGTTGATTCAAGCACTTAGATGATCAGGTGTAAGACCCTACAACACCCGTGATGGTCGCATGTCTTCAACAGAAAGTGAAACACATTCAAGTGTTTAAATATCCCTCTCAGTTGTAAACCATCTTGATCCATTAACACCAAATCCTGATGAAACTAATCTAAGAGAAATCTGTTGCTAGTTAGTTTTTGAACACAGCGTCTTGAGTTTTTGGATCATCCTGGAAAAAAGATCAAAAACCTTCATATCATTAACAAAGTGTTTACAAAGTAGTGTTTGGTACATACCTGCAGGAGTTTAGTCTGAGCGATGTGATCTTAACGAGTTTTTAAACTGTAAAATTAGGCAGCTATTTCTCTAATTCAATGATTAGAGAATTTGTGAATTTAAAGCAGACTGGAAGTTTTTTAGCAAGCAAGCAATCTGTAAATTCAACAGACAATTGATTAAAGTTACATGCAGATGTCCTAGGTATCTGAATCTTAGTTTAACGTGTTTCAAAAGAAAGATTAGAGGCTGTAGTTTTACATCAGATGTTCAATATATAAAATAAGATGTAAGGATACAATATATGCAATGAAATGTGGAGCATATTTCATATGAAATATGGTGGCAATTAGAGCATGTTAAAGGGGACCTATTATGCAAAGTCCTCTTCCTCATGTCTCTTCTACATCAACATGTATGATGTCATAACGATTTTGTGGCTTGTGTAACCATTAGCCAATCACCAACCAAGGTAACCCCCCCCCCACCTTATCACCTGAATCTCCTCCTAGAGCACCATTAGCCGCTTTCACAACAAGTACCTTGCCGTACTTAGTGCCGGCTCTTAGTTCCCCCATGGAACTAAAGAGCCGATCGCGTTCACACCGGAATAAGTTCCCTGAGGGAAGATTACGCAAATGAAGCCGCTGACGTCTCGTCTTCTTCTGCTTTGGGTTTACTGGCAGGCCGCAAACAACTTCACGCCGTATACTGCTAAGTTCTCTTTTTGGTGTGAACGCAAAATTCCAAGCACTAACGGAACTAAACGGGAAAAGTACGGGTAAAAGTACTCCGGTGTGAAAGCGCCTATTGTGTTCTTTGTAACCAAATGTCTCTCAGAGGGGCGTGGGGAGGGGCTCCTTATTTTCATCTAAAGTAACAGACAGAGAATCAGCACTTTGGAAACAGGGCTGAAACAGAGGGGATTATGGGTAATGCTGCAATGATCTGTTTGGTGTTTGGAGCCACTTCAGAGACATGTTTTGTATGTAACGGAGAGCTATAATATATGGAGGAAAAACAGTATAATAGGAGACCTTTAAGATTTCAGCTTTTGCTTGAATCTATTGCTATCAGTAATTCCAAAAAGGTAGTTTAGGGTGGCACAACTTAAACCTGTAGAACTAGGACAGGGCCCACATTTGTGAGTAACATCTTCAAAACAAGAACACTTTCAGCTTTCAGCACGAAAACAAAAAATGCGACAGAATCGTAGAGTACACAGAATATGGGTCGCTACACACACATGAGGCATTGCTGTAGTTTCCTCTAAATGTCAGCAAGTTTCATCATCATGCACCATTGCAGAAAAAAAACTTCAACTTGACCTTGACACCGAGTCAAAGCCACCGATCTGTTTCCTCCACAGATCCAGCAGAAATATAAAAAAAGTCCACAAAGTATTTTCCTTCCTCAGCACACCTTTACAAAATCTCATTCTAGTCATGCATATGGATCAGCACCTGCTGCTATGGCAACAGACTCCGGCCGGCCTCGTTTGGTCAGATTCGGTTGTACCGCTGCTGTTCACAGTGAACGGCCACCGGGCCCTGTCAGCTGCCTTTGCTGAAAAGCGCTTCAGTGTGTGAGCCGTCAGCCGAGGCCTCTCAAATCCAGCCCAAAGCAGCGGACTTATTAGAAACTCCATGCATCACTGGCATTGAATAGGAGTGAAAATGACAACTGATCTGCACTGCAATGTAAGGGGCTTTCACACCGGAGAGAACAGTTTGAGTTGACTCGCTTACCTTTACTTCAGACTGAACTCCTGCTCGTTGGAGGACAGGCTGGGAGGATAGAGCCTGCCTCCTGGGTCTTGAATTGGATCAATCGGATTATATCAGAATGAAGTTGTTTAGAAGAATCTGCAAGATGTCCTTTCAAATGGTGTGTATGCTGCTGTCCCAGAAGATGTTAAATCTGCAGTCTTGATGATGGTCTGCACTGCGTGTTGTGGTCAAATCGATTTGCTTTTCCTTTGTCCAAACAGCTGTTGTCCCAGCAATTGGTTCTTTCCCCACGGGCCAAATCAAGAAACCTCAGATGTAGAACTAAAGGAGAAAATAGAGGAAATTAGGTGTTAATGCAAATTATTGTAAGTCGCTTTGGACAAAAGCGTCAGCTAAATGTAATGTAATGTAATGTAACTTAGAATTACATTTGAGTTAGAGAAACATGCAGGGGTAGAGGGAGATAGAGTGAATCAAACAGCGTTGATAAGGAGCACATTCGAAAGGTTATATTCCTGATTGAGAACGTGTGTTTGGTAAAACGGTTCCCTAATATTGAAAGTATATTTCATACCAGATTGAAAGCAGGTGGTGTCTGCTTATGTATGCAGGCACCTTATCTGTGTTTGACTGACAACAAGCTTCACCTTTGAGATGAGAAGAGGACTTAAGATTGTTGAGACCTAGATAGATGAGACTCAATATTTGAATGATTATTTCCACCAACATAAGCAGATTATTAAACAAATATTCTGAATGTCACACTTAAAAAAGTTGGTATGCAGAGCCCATGTACTGGAGCTTGTACTGGGTGAAGGACATGGGTTCAACACATTCAAGTAAATACTGAAACTAAACTGCCGGGAAAGAGGTATTACTTGAACATGGACAAGTAGGGTTAGGGTTGTGGATCATCTGCTCAAAGAACATAAGACAGTATCTAAAATGTTAAAACAACAGCAACTGGTCCAATTGAAGAGAGGGTCCTATAAGATATAATCAGCTCATATAATATCCTCCCAGCCAATGACCTCATTAACATGTCTCACATGTTGAACCAGTAACGAACTATGAAACAAAAGGAATGGGATAACCAAGGATTTCATTTTACCCAGACACACAAAAAACATACTGGTCAAAGAAACAAGAATATACAGTCTACATCAACATGTGTCCCCTCTTCTTCATGTCTCTTCTACATCAACATGTGTCCCCTCTTCTTCATGTCTCTTCTACATCAACATGTGTCCCCTCTTCTTCATGTCTCTTCTACATCAACATGTGTCCCCTCTTCTTCAGGTCTCTTCTACATCAACATGTGTCCCCTCTTCTTCAGGTCTCTTCTACATCAACATGTGTCCCCCTCTTCTTCATGTCTCTTCTACATCAACATGTGTCCCCTCTTCTTCATCAACATGTGTCCCCTCTTCTTCATGTCTCTTCTACATCAACATGTGTCCCCTCTTCTTCATGTCTCTTCTACATCAACATGTGTCCCCTCTTCTTCAGGTCTCTTCTACATCAACATGTGTCCCCTCTTCTTCATGTCTCTTCTACATCAACATGTGTCCCCTCTTCTTCATGTCTCTTCTACATCAACATGTGTCCCCTCTTCTTCATGTCTCTTCTACATCAACATGTGTCCCCTCTTCTTCATGTCTCTTCTGCATCAACATGTGTCCCCTCTTCTTCATGTCTCTTCTACATCAACATGTGTCCCCTCTTCTCCATGTCTCTTCTACATCAACACGTGTCCCCTCTTCTTCATGTCTCCTCTACATTAACATGTGTCCCCTCTTCTTCATGTCTCTTCTACATCAACATGTGTCCCCTCTTCTTCATGTCTCTTCTACATCAACATGTGTCCCCTCTTCTTCATGAGCTGATCAGATTTTGGCCACTTTATGATGTCATAACGATGTGTTGTCTTGTGTAACCATTAGCCAATCACCAACCAAGGTACCCCCCCCCCCTCCTTATCACCTGAATCTCCTCCTAGAGCACCATTGAGTTCTTTGTAACCAAATGTCTCTCAGAGGGGCGTGGGGAGGGGCTCCTTATTTTCATCTAAAGTAACAGACAGAGAATCAGCACTTTGGAAACAGGGCTGAAACAGAGGGGATTATGGGTAATGCTGCAATGATCTGTTTGGTGTTTCAGCCAATCAGAGACAGGCTCTGGATATATCTGAGACCTGTGATATATTGATGAAAAACAGTATAATAGGAGACCTTTAAACACTGTAAAACATACATCTGCTGGTCAGAGAAAGTGTTCTAACCCTTTCTCGTAAAGAACAGAATTGCGGCAACTGGTTTGTGCACTTGGTCGGACTTGATCTCATGTAATGAAATATATATATACACTTTAACCCAAAGGCCCGATCAACATCTCACAGGAAAACCATAGTATGGGAGAACCAAGGGTTTGTTTTACCACAAGCAAGAAAAAAAACATACATCCGCTGGTCGAGATAGAACAAATGCGTTGGCCCACTCAAATGTCAGAGCACATTGACATGGGTCGACTCGCCTGGTATTAAAGGGGCGCGGCGAGTGTAGCCTTCGAGAGATAATATGAGGTATCAACAGTGCAGAATATCCTGTCTTTCTCCATCGTTGTGTAAATCTTCCGGCTTTAAGTAAAGGATACAAGAGGGGGTCGGATTGAGCGTGTCTTTGAGAGAAAAGAGAGAGAATAAAGGAAGGGATAAGAGGGAGGATGAAGAGACACAGGAGGTTACACACTAAAACCTCACGGTGGTCTTGAGTATGTGTGGAGGTGGCGTGAAGGAGAGTATCAAATCACACAGCCGACTGGGGAAGTAAACAAGGTTTTAATTGAAATGAAGGGCTACGAGTGCTTTCAAACAAGGCACTAAAGTACAAACAAAGCCTCATCAAGGACATATCTCTAGAGAAAGTTCAGGACGATTAAAATAATTTGTTGATAAGTGAGAGAAAATAATTGACACATTTAAGATTGAAGGACCACCATGAGCAGAAGAGGAAGGAGAGTCTATTTAGATCCCCACCAAAACAAAATGGGTGAAAATGATGTTTTGATCCACCGCAGTTCCCAACAGTGTGCTTGAGGCCATGATCCATCATCAGAGCAGAGAGAAGGCTAGAAATGGTGAGATGAAGGGGGGAGGAAAGGAGGGTGGACAGTGAAGGACAAGTGGGAGAAAGTAAAAGGAGTCTGGGGATGTTAAAGTTAAAGCCTTTTATTGTCATTATACACAGAGTATAACGAGATTCAGAGTGCAACTCTGTCCCGGTGTGCAAAAAATACAAACAAATACATAACACTAAAAAACACGGCAATAGGACAGACAACATACAATCATACGGGGGAATAAATAGTTACAAATATTGATATACAAATAGTATATAAAGTGCATTAAAGTGTGTGTATGTGTGAGAATGGTTACGGTTATTGCATTAAGTGTGGTGGTTGAGCAGCCTGACGGCTCAGGGGTAGAAACTGTTTGTCCGTGACTCAGGGGCGGTTCTAGGGGGGGCCAGGGGGGGCCAGTGCCCCCCTAACACTGACCTGTGGCCCCCCTAACAATGACATTTTTTTTTTTAAATGTATTTTTTCTGATACTCGGTTTGCAAAAACCGCAGGATTTTGTTGCTGTAATGTGAGATTGTGCAGACACCCTTATGTAAAGTAGAGATGTAACTGTTCATTGCCTTTATTTTTATATAAATATGGTGTGAGTGCAAACATTGCACTATAACTTAAGCTGAAGCTAACAGTAATAACTATAAGATCTATCTGAAATAAATAAGTGTACTGAAACAAATACCAATAACTGGATTGCATTGTTTTCTTATGCGCAATTACTTCATACTGTCTAGTTATCTTTTTCGTCCTGCATTTATTGTGCCCCCCTCAGAAAATAACTGGCCCCCCAGTGGCCCCCCCAGTCAAATTGGTCTAGAACCGGCGTGACTTGAAGCTCCTGTCTCTCCTCCCAGAAGGCAGGATGATGAATGAAGAGGTTAGAAGTTAGGGAGGGCTGAGTGAGATGGAGACGGATCCACACAGAGGGCTTTCAATTATTCATACACCTGATAAAATGCTGCTCCAAAATTAAGACAAATAATAATAAAAACGAGGTGTTTTTGCTCGTAATAAGTAAAAAGATCTGCCAATAGAACAAGTGAACATTTGCTTGGTTACATTTCTTGAAGTAGGGATATTTAGATGAAGGAGATCTTGTGATTAGCTGAGAGAACTTATGTTGATCTATATCTTACCAGGATCAGTAAATGTTGTGTTACAAAATAAGCCTGACATGCTTTTTTAAATCAAGTAAGATGTATTTGTTAAAACAAGATGAACCATCTTTTACAAAAATCACAGCAGCTTAAAAAACTTGTTTAATTTGAGATACAAAATAAGAAGTTTTGAAGATGCATTGTCGAAAAACAAGACCCTATATCTCACAGCATTGTTACCTCTTGAGCTATTAGGTCTTATATTCAACCTCCAGACAGGGAAGATCTATTTTAACCGCCTTTGCTTTCTCACTGTCTCCTTCCCCACCAACTCATAAAGCTGGCAATGTCCTTGATCTCATATTCTCAAGGAACTGCTCTACTTCTAACCTCTCTGTAAACCCGCTCCACACATCCGATCACTTCTTCATTTCATTCTCTCTACCCCTTTCCAAACATAACAAACTAATCTCTTCTCATCCTGCACATGTCCGCCGTAACCTTCGTTCCCTCTCCCCCTCTACCTTTGCCTCATCGGTGCTCTCAGCCCTCCCTTCCTCTGACTCGTTCCAACTCCTACCTCCAAACTCTGCTGCAGAAACTCTCCTCTCGACTCTTTCATCCTCTCTGGACTCTCTCTGTCCTCTCACATCTCGGCAGGCTCGTCAGTCCCCTCCTGCTCCCTGGCTAAATGACGCACTGCATGCTAATAGAACCGTCCTTCGGGCAGCAGAGCGGAAACGGTGGAAATCCAAACACCATGACGACCTCCTAACCTATCAGGCTCTCCTCTCCTCTTTCTCTGCTTCGATCTCTCAGGCAAAAAGCACTTTCTTTCAAGATAAGATCCAATCTTCCTATTCCAATCCCAAAAAAACTATTCTCCATCTTCTCCTCCCTCTTGGACCCCCCCAAAGCCCCTTCCCCCTCCTCCCTTCTGTCAAGCGACTTTGTTAACCACTTTGAAAAAAAGGTTGATGATATTCGCTCTTCTTTTTCTGACTCACCTTTACTCACCGCTGGGTCACCAGACCCTCCTTCCACTAACACACTTACCTCCTTTTCCCCTCTCTCTCCAAGTGAGGTTCTTAC